ATTACGTTTTTATTTATTTATCTTGTTTACTGACAATCTCTTCCCATGTAAGATTCATGAGGGCAGGTTTTATTTTTTTCAGTCTTTTTTTGTTGTCCCAGTACCAGCAATGGCTGCAGCATAGTAGATGCTCAATGAATCTCAGTTGAAAGATTGAAAGAATTCATTCCTTAAATATTTTGATGTTTTGAGTGCCTACTATGTTCTAGAGTTGGAAAGTGGAGGACATTGGTCTGAATGAGATAAGCTGGATGGGGGCTAATGCAATGAACTTGGCCCATGGCAGAGCTCAGCTGACAATTTTAATAGGATTGTTCTATAATTAAATCAAGATGGCCCCAGGCTGCAGTGTAGAAAAACGTTTTATTTCTACATACACGGTCACTTCTGATAAAGGAGATGAAAGAGCCTGTTTGCTCCCACAAGGATCAGATGGTTTAAGATACACCTTCTGTTGAGCTGGGTTCCCCAGAACATCTAAGCTACAGGTTAGGAGAGTCAGTGGCCCCTGAGGTCAGCTGACCATCACAGTGATGCTCACAAGCGAAAGGGGAGTTTCAGCCTAATGAGTGCAAGGTGTTGATAACAGGGAGCTGAGCTGTTTAGTGGTTGCTGGTTTGTTAGGGCACCCTTCAAATCAAGTAAAATTGTTAGGGATGGTCAAGGGTCTTCTGGCACTTTAAAACAAAGCTTTATAACGTTAATAATGTAACTAGTTTTGCCAATTATTCAGCTAACTTTTATTGAGCTTTTACGCTAAAATTGCAACCTCTTTGTCAATCAGTGTGTCTTGGGCTCCTCCTAGTGGGAGAGACAACACTATGAGATGCATATAAGACATAATGTGTGCTTGTGGGAGACCATGATGACGGACAGCAAGGAGAGATAACATTTATTGAGGTATTGAGGTACCATTTTAAATATTTTTTATCAATCTGATCCCCATAATTCTGTATGATGTCGGGTTACTCAGTCATTTGGACTGAGACTTAGAGAATGTCAATAACTTGAAAAGGGAAAAAAATTTGCCCCCATCATGTGTCTCTTTAAAATGAGAATTATTTTAGGTTAATTATTTTTAAGAAACAGAAGACTCAGAAAGTTTTATTTTACCTCTCTCTTAACTGGCTAAAAGAATTTAGATAAATGGCCTATAACAGGAACAGAGCTATCACCAGGGACATCTATAAAGACTATGGGCTGAGTGTGATGAGGAAACCCGCAGGGCCTAGAGATCAGAGTCCTCTCCATGGCCCACTGTCTGCGCGTGGCATAGCACACATTTGTTTACCAAACATTTGCTTTTCCATCTCCATGTGAATTACCTTCCTCCCCTTTGAAGTCCCAAACCACTGCCCCCAACTTCTTCTTTTGTCTTTAGCTGAAGATGGTAGTTAAGGTGGTGGCTTTGGCCATTTTGGTGAATTACTCAGTTTTCTTGGGTTTCTCTCATCTATACATGTCATTAAACTTTGTTTGACTTTCTCCTGTTTATCTGCCTCCCGTCAATTTAATCCTTAGACCAGCCAGAAGAACCTAGAAGGGTAGAGGAAAATTTCTTCCTCCTCTGCACTTGCTTAAAAGGTCACACTCTTAGTTGTAGAGCAAAGATTTGAGCCCAAGCAGCTTGGCTTCAGAGTCCACATTCTGTCCTCTGCACTGTTGCTTTAATACTACTATAAATGCTACTCTGTGCATTTGGTTATATTGGAGGAGGGATGAGACTGGCAATTTAGACACCTGGGTTCTGACTCTGCTTCTGCCACAGATCCTCTTGAAATCCTGTGATCCCCAAACATTTTGAGCTGGTGCTAGTTTAGAGGCTGTAGATGGATTCCTGCAATTCCCTCTTTTATCACTAGATGGCAGACTTGGTCATAGGAGAGAGCAGAGGGCGCGGTAGACCTATGGTATTTAATTTGTAAATCTCGTGTTGAGTCCTACTGGTAAAATAGTTTATGGGCTATTTCAATCAGGCATTATTAATATTTATTAAATTTCGACTCATTAAATTTCTTTCAGTTTGTATTTAATAGCTCCACTTTTCCTCTTTATTTGTTCAATGTAATAGTATCTGCAAAAGGAGTATAAAGCAGACAGTGGGGAATTTGGCTGCCTCATTTATGACTACATCGAGAGCGGTATCTGGCTTATGGCAGGGACTCAAAAGTATTTGAGATGTTCTTTTCTTTTTTTCATGTTCTAAGCACTTCATTTTTTAAGACTCTTTTTATTTTGAATGAATTTTAGTCTTACAGAAAAGTCTCAAACACAGTACAAAGAGTTCCCTTATATCTCTCCTCCCATTTCCCATAATGTTAACATCTTACGTAACCGTATTACAGCTATCAAGAATAGAAAATTAACCTTGGTACAGACTTACTCACTAAATTACAAACCTTATTTGAATGTTACTGGTTTTTTCCACTAGTGTCCTCTTTCTGTTCTGGCACTGTACCCAGGGTGTCACATTGCATTTAGTTATTATTTCTTCATAGACAAATAGACCAACAGAGCAGAACAGAGAAGCCAGAAACAGATCAACCAGTTTGATCTTGATTTAAAACAGAGGTACCATCAAGTGGAGGAAGAAGAAGGAGAGAGTCTTTTGTCAATTAAGGCATGAGAATTAAATTTGTGTTTTCAAACCTCATCTTTTCTCACAGCCTTAAATTTGTTGTACTAGTCAGTGCATTAGAATATAGTGAGCCATAACTTCAAAAACTGTTCCGCCAACTTCTGACGTTGAAATCCTTTAAGCAGGGACAAGTTCTTCATTTTGGAATGAAAGGGACAACCATATACAAGTTTCTCTGGGGGAGTATTGCTGATAAACTGATTCAGATTAAGAAATAATGACAAATATCACTGCTTTTGTGGTAAGAGCATGTTTTGTTAGCAGTGAAAGGGTCAAAACGGAAGGGAGCTTTGGGGTGCACTGGGCATTTGAGTGAGAAGGATGAGAAGGGACGCATGTTTCATTGTTTCCTAAGTCTAGTCTTGGCAATGAATCTGACTTTTCCTGGATCTATAGGTGAATGTATGGTGGGAGGATATAGGAGGCATTGCTTCTATAAAGGACTAGTGACCATCCAATAGCTTGTTATATTATGCCGTGCTACCATTCTCACCCTTTCTAACCTGGCACTTAACCCACAGACCACGGCACCCAGTAAGAGGAAGACTGAGTATCCCTCAACCAAGATAAATAGAAATAAAGAATAGAAGTGGTTCCATAAATCAGTGATGCTGGCTGGCTTTATTTAACATGATCAGGGATGTCTCCCTGTTCCACTGTCACCAGGACCATGACTGTGTTTAACAACAAAGGTAAAGTGACAATAATTTTGTGAGGTAGATAGGATTTTCACTTTCCATACAGATTATGGTGCAATGCAGAAACAAAATATCCTTTGCCAAAAGACAATTTGGGAAATGTCCAGGTGTTTATAAAGGATGTTTATGGTCATGGCTGATGAAAAATTGGCCCACAATTAATTAAGTACAGTCGAGAACCACAAAAAGACATTTTGGTCAAAGGTGGACTGCATATACGATAATGGTCCCACAAGATTAGTATCAGAGAGCCTAGGTGTGTAGTAAGCTATGCCATACAGGTTTGTGTAAGTGCACTCTGTGATGTTCACACAACGACAAAATTGTCTAACAGTGCATTTCTCAGAACATATCCCCATCATTAAGCGACACATGACTGTAGATATTTTTCAAGTGCTTGCCAGGTTTCTTACAGTGTGTTAAATATAAAGAGAATTTACAACAGCACAGCTTGCACTCCGTGCCCAGGAAAAGATCTTGTAGGAGTGACAATGTAAATTTACATATAGTAAACAGAAAATTCGGTAAAATATATGATAAGGCATATTATCAAGAAAGAGATCAATATGGGCTCGTGATAATATAGAAGGCAACACAAATGGTGAGACTCGAGGTAGAACTTGAGTAATAGCTAATATATAAATGCAGGAGTATTATAGGCAGAATTCTCATGCATCCTGTATTTTCTCGGACTTTCCTAATCTATTACTACAATAATAACCACATTTATTAAATGCCTGCTATGTACTAAGTACTCTACATATGTCACCTATAATCTTCTCAGCCATAAATATCCTGAAATTCTCCCCATTTTTCAAATGAGCAAAGCAAGACAGAGAGAGACCAAACAGCTCGCTGAAGGCCACATGGGTACAAGGTGATGAGCTGGAATTTCCCACTACACCACACCTTCTGTATTCTCCCACCAAAAGTGCACTTCCCAGAAGACAGCCTGATGTTTGGTTCAGAACTTATGGTCCCTGCTGTTTGTGGGTTGTAGGCGTTTTTCCAGAGTTGCACATTGCCATGTGTTGCTGGCAAAAACTATCCACATGTTGCAAGCTTATCATGAGATCTGGGAGTCACTTCATCTTTCAGGGACACCATTTGAACCCTAGATAATGACTGTCCTGGGAATGAATAAAACCCACACATTGGCTCTTGGGCCTGGATGGAGGACAGGATTGTCTAAGTTTATACCTGGTGCTCAGCTCCTCATGGCTCTGACTCACCCTCGTGTTTGTCCCCTCTCTGTGTTCTGTTCTGCTGGCTCTGATTCCTAACTCAAACTATAACCTGCCACGTCCAGGTACACACAGTTTAGATGGAAATGTGAAAGGACAGTCTTTAGAATTCTTGGCTTCTGTGGTTTGTTGGGTTTGCTTCCTCATGATTAAGTAGTAGGATGAATAAAAGATGCCACAGTACTACTCTCTGCTTCCTGCTGAGCAGGGAGGTGCCACATGCCTTCCTCAACTGGATAGGGAAGCCCATTTGGTGTCCCTTCCATGATTTTCCTCTTAGTGCATCTGGGAGAGGGGAGGGACTTCTCATGCATTGTTCTCACTGCTGCTGCTGCTGTCACCAACCTCCCCCTTGGGGGCTGAGCCAATGGGAAGTCTGGGAAATTTTCCCTGAACCTTGGCACAAGTGAGGTGGGAGGAGTGCGGAGTCTTAGGAGGAGGAGGCAGGAGGAACTGGAACCCAGCAGTGAAGTCTGCGGAACTGCTGTGGGAGGAGGTAAGTGGCATTCTGAAGCATGCTGGGTTTTTCCCCGCTTGTAGGTGTTCTCAGATTCCCTAGATGGATGGACAGCTCCTGGAGCCCAAGAGCGCTGCCTGCCATGAGCGTTCATCTGCCTTCAAAGTAACAGCTTCTCCTCTAGCATCTGGGCTTCTGCATCCAACACCCCCTTGCTTGGTAAAACCATAGCCTCCTGCACTTCCTGAAGGCATCCTAAGCTCCTCTATCCAATCTCTATTCTCTACAGGGTTGTTGTAGAGTGATCTTCGAGATTAGAATGACAGTGGATGGCAGCATCTCTCACATTGGCCAACATAGGGGATATAGGGAAGTCAGCTTTATTCTTGACCTTACGTAACAAATGCCTACCAATGCTGAGCAAATCCTGAACCTTATAGAAGATAACTTACACACTGAATATTTTTAATGCTTGTGTCTGGGTTTTCTATCCTTTGGTGTCACAACAATACCGAATAAATGTGTGTGAATGAATGAATGAATGAATGGATATTTTAAGCTAGTCTTTTCTACTTTTTTTTTTACAGCACATTACCTAAAACTCTTGTGACAAGTTATATGTCAACTCCCACATCAAAAACAAAAGCTGGAGACCACAATAATAATGATGGTAATAATTTCCCCCAAAGTCTGCTAGGTGTTAGATACTTCCTATTAATTATATTTTCATTATTGTCAATGATATTTGGCAACTTTAGCAATAATAGTGAGAGGCTTGAGTTTGTCATGGTTTTTAGAATTATTAGGCACTTTTGAGTACTTGATAAATTTATTCAGAATCAAAGGTTCTCCAAAATATCTGAATCTGAGTGCAGCTGAGCTTGAGAATATCTCTGTACTGTAATTGTCTTCTACAATAATTTAGGACCTGGACATTTCTGATAGAATTTTTGGACTCAGTGAAAACTGCTAGATAATGGGCTTCTCATGCAGCCTCTTAAAAAGGCATGACACAGAGGAAACAAGGAAAGGGACTCTTTATATTTGTGAGGCCTAACATCTGTGATGGTTACAACAGAAATGCTTACAACAGGAAACCTTGCATTAATCATGGTTGTATCTGTAAGATTTTGACCCAAAGTCCATGGTAGGGTTTTCAATGTTAATATGTGAGTAGAGTTTATATTTATATTGATAAATAAAATCACATTGATTTCTTGACAGGGGTTAAGTAAACTATCCTGGAAGTTTTTCTTAAAAAAGAGGTATAAAGTCTCCCGTTTCTCTGAAAAGTGTTTTAGAGACATATACAGGTGGAATGAAAACCTAAATTTCACACCAGGGAAGTGTGCTGTTGCATTCATGTTTAGTGAGTGAAGACTAGAAAGCAGACATAGATTTCCTCCTTTCCCTTCGATGACTAATCAGATTATGTTTTCCTGTTTGAACCTGGTTGTGTTGCTGTGGGTAACGCTGACTAGAAAACCAGTGAAGAGACAGGAGCTCCACAAGTGACATATTGTAGGCACAACCTTCTTGTCTTGGAATATCCCCTAGAGAAGCGAAGGCACTGGTCAGAGAGGATGCTGGTCATCAGGGGGGTCCATGGAGAGGCTGGAGCGAGGAGGACGAGAGTGTGTGATTCTCTGTGCCTGAGCCCCATCCTCCAGCCTAGTCGACCTCACTGCCTTCTCTCCTTCCTTCTGCCAGAGGGAGTTGGAGCATCATCTCCACTCCAAAGCCTTCTGTAACCCCTCTACCCTCCCCAAGTCACTTTTCAAACATCTCTAACCATTGCAGTTCTCACACAGACTAATTTTCAAACTTACTTTTAGATCATGGACTGTTTGCGGGGGCAGGGGTGGCAGGGGAATGTCTTAATTTCCTAGTGCCCCACAGAGTTTAAACGGAGGTGTTGAATTGAGGTGGTGTTTCAGGCCATAGTTCGAGTCTTTCACTTTTTTAAAACTACCTCCTCTGAAATAATGAAAACCACATTTTACTTCACTGCTTCTTTTCTTCTCATTTCCTCCTTGTTCTCAAGTTTTCTTTTCCTATGACATGTCAGGAGAAATTTTTGGGTTGGAGGAGGTATGAATAGACATGAAAATTAGAGACAAAATGAGGATGATCCTAGTTTCTTCCAATTGGTCTGCTTGGTATATAATTAGCCTATTTTAATGGCAGACGCTGGAATTTGTGGGTTAGCTGAGCAAAATTCACTTGCAATAGCATCATTTTAAAAGGTGAGTTAGTGAGGCAAGCTATGCTTAATAAATCTGCATTTTGAACATTTAAAATCCTTATTCAACTATCAACAAGAATTGCATCATTTCATGAATAAAAAGTATGGTTCTCTATATAAGATCATTATAATGGCTTACCAATATGTTATTGCCTATCACCAAAGGTGGAAACAGAGTAATAGTATTTATAGATGCATTTATCAGGGATTTACCCATGAACCTTTGAAGTTTAAAAACAGCAGGATGCTTTTTCTCAAGGTACACAATGTTACGTAATGAGAACCTGCCTTAGGGGATACAAAGTAAAGACCAGGGATATTTTCTCTAACATGTTGTTAGCTGTTTCAGCCTCAATTTATGAACTCCACTGTGTACCAGGTCCCATAAAATCATTACACTGTATGGGCGTGCGACAGGTTTCGGTAAACTTTGGGAATGCGTTCTCCTGTATGTCACACAGTGACTGGCCATTCCTGTCCATGAGATGTGGAGCACGGGTTTGTGAGTGGTTTACTCCCAGGCTTACCTGCAGGACATACAGAGGAATCTAGTGACAACACTGCGATGGAACAATAAGCCCAACTGGGTCTCTTGTTTGAGGTCCTTAAAACTGTGCAGCCATTTGCTCTTGTGTAACATAGTGGGCCCAGGGCTGCCCTCCAGCCTAGTTGAAATCAGGGTGGGGGATAAGTGGAGGCTCCTGCCTCCTTGCTCTGTAATATTTGAGGAGCAGATGAAGGAGATTCCGTGAGATTAGAAGGCGTTAATTATCTAGAGCAGCAAGGCCTGGGGCTGTGGCTTCCTCCCAGACTCCTGTCCTACATTTAGATTTTGCCAGTTGTTTCCAGGGTCCTGGAGTAGACTCTGGGTGTGTGTGTGTATTTGTGTGTGTGTGTTGTGTGAGGAAATGGAAAAACTTACAAGGACTCTCATTTTTTTGTAGTTGGCCTTATAGTGAATTAAAAGCCTCCTTTCTCTCAAATCTGCTCCCTCTTCCCGGGTTAATCACCATCACCATTTTGAAAGTGTTTGTTCCATATTAAGTGTTATTAATACAGAAGGTTCATCTTCCTTGTCTAGGAATTTTAGTTAGTTGCAAAAAGAAATGATAGATTCTGGATTTTCTGATTCTTATAAAGTCAAAGAATTGTGTATAAATTCTGTTCCATCCATTATAACATGTGTACTCTTGGAAAAGCAACTGAATATCTTGAAATCCCAATTTTCAGCTGCAAAATAGGAATAACAACACTAAAATAAATAGTGATAATAATAGTGATGCTTATGAGGGTCAAGAGAGAGGCTAATTTGCTATTATCTTTTCCTAGATTTAATAGTTTTAAGTTATTAGTTATATATAGGTCTGTTGAGGTTCAACTGTGGTTTGCCAAAGCCTTTATCCCATATTTGACTTTTCAGAGTGCCATATAAGGCTTTAGGGTAGGGGTTGGCCAACTTTCGCTCTCTGTCTAACCTGGCTCACCACCTGATTTTGTAAATAAAGTTTATTGGAACACAGTCATGTCCATTTGCTTACTTATTTGCTATCTGCTTTCATGCTGCAACCAAAAAATTGAGTTGTGAATGGTTCTACAGTCCACAAACCCCAAAATATTTACTATCTGGCCCTTTAGAGAAAGTGGTTGCCAACCTCTGCTCTTGGGAGCTCCTGATGGAACCATTCTCTAAACTTCTACAATGCATTGCTTCATCTTCACTTAACCGTAAGCACTGGGCACTACACAAAGCAAGGTAATAGTAGAGCTCTCCTTCAAGTTCACAGTCTAATTTGCCCTCCTGATCAGTTTTAGTTGCTAGGGGGTCCTTTCCTGTTTGCTTGTTCAGCCCTAACCTGCTCCCTCGACTACAAGTAGGTTTATGAGGAGGGTGTGTTGTCCTCATATGTTAATAAGCATTTCTTCATACCTGGTGTTGCTGTCACATTGCCACATGCTCACAGCACCGGGCCTCTCTCTCTCTCTCTCACATGCACACACCCTTTGTACAACTGCTGTTGCCATATACGGCAGACAACAAAGGAATGAGCAGTGTGACCTTAATATGTTCACAAATATAAAGCCCCAGAAATTTTTAATGGCATCAAGACTGAGACTTATCCAAACTTACTAGCCATGCCAGAGCCAGACACTACCCCCGGTGATTAGCTCTTTTTCCTCGGCTATTTGTGCACTTCCTGGCTGACATCAAGTGGCACATGGGATTTAAATTTTATAGTGAACAAATTTGTACTGTCTAGAACAGATCAGTTAGTATAAAGTGAAGCAAAAAGTCATGACCTCTTTTCATAAAGATGCTCTCTGCTTCACTGAAGCACTCAGAAATCCAACCTCTGTCTAGAAACTGGTTCTAAATCACAGTGACTTGACCATTATCATCTAGTCTCAAATCTTCTGCACCTGGTCCCTGGAGAGGTAGCAGTTGACTGTGGAAAGATGCTTCAGGAACATTCTCTGGAAAACAATTATTTAGGGCCTGGGCCCCTCTGAGGACCAGATCCTCAATCATCTGGCTTTCCAGTATTTATAACATAAAGCTTAAAAGGAAACTCTTGTGGAAATCCTGGTGCCAGTGTGTGGCAGGCCCACTCCCTTCCTGTACTTTACCCTCTCAACGAGAAGAAGGACATGACAAGGCTTCCACTCCTTGCTCTGGCAGAAAGCCCAACTCTTCGAAGGCATCCTCACAGAGTCCAAGTGCACTTAAGAGCAAAGGGTAAGAACTTTGCCTTTTGGCCAGAGTCCAGGAGTTTTAGTATTAAGCCCTAAATATTTA